CAAAGATTTTTCCCTCCCCAAGTCAGAGTTTAACTGAACATGAAACCGTAATTGGTTAACTCTACATGGTTCCAAATCTGATATGACTTAATTAGCCAAGAGAGGAAAGCACACCTAAATCAAATGCTTTACAAAGAAAGCTTATCCCATGGTTGGCTACAGATGACACTCCTCTCAACACATCATGATGAGGCCTATGTCCCCTCCACTTGTATCTGAGCAGACCTTGTCATTGTTTGACCAAGAAAATATTACAGAAGTGATGCCATGACAGTTTCTGGGCCCAGGACTTAAAGTATTGGCAGTGTCCACTTCCTGTCTCTTAAAACACTCATTCCTAGTTGTCATGCTGTGAGGAAGCCCAAGAAGGCATCCCCATAAGGAGGCCCATGTCAAGAAGAACTGAGGCCTCTGGCTGAACCCCAAGCCAACAGCCAGCACCCACTTGCCAACAGCCACATGAGTGAGCCATGTTGGAAATGAATCCTCCTATCCCACTTGATCAACCCAAGTTGATACTTGAACAGCAGAGACAAGACATTATTGCCAAGTCCTGCCCACACCATACATTTACATTTGTGAACAAATGTTCTGTCACCAAGTTTTGGGGTAGTTTGTTATCCAGCAATAGACATTGGACCGCTCCCTAATCACAAACTGATTTTCTCAAGTTGAAAGCCTGAACATACCAACCCCACTGCCTCACAGCTACATTGATCAAATCTACCGTTAGTATGGTTCAGAAAGGCCATGGACATCAGAAACAGACAAACAAACAAATACACACAGCCAGGCACCTGAAAACTCTTCACTGCTTCTTTATTAGGATGCACCCACAGTACAGAACCTCTCACACACCTGTGAAAGGGGAAGGTTACATTTCCCTTTGGGAGCACCTTCATTTTTGTTTCTGTTACCACTTTGAAGAAAGTAAATCATTTTCAAAGAAAGACATTCTAAAACTCCAAATGTTTTAAGACTTGGCTTGCATTTTGTTGTGTTTGAAAAGGAAGTAGCATATTTTAGCCAGCGCTGGAAGATTGCTTTGTGGCATTTTAACTTTAATGTGGATCAGAAGTCTTCACTGTCTGGTTGAACCAGTCTATAATTTTCATATGCAACTTTTCATTATCAAAAATGTTTCATTTTTACCTCTACCCACAAACAGATGCTGTTTAAAAAACACACACACACAACTAAATTTAAAACCAAACATGAACCACAGCATTTCTAACAGGGAAAATGAACTTTTGCTGCCCTCTCCTGCTAAAACAATGAAATACTAAAATCCCAAAAGATATGAAGCTAAAGCGAAATCCTCAAACCAAAAGCAATGGACATGTCATTCTCATTATACCTCGATCAAAAATCAGACAACAACCAGAAAATGTATTGGTAATATTTATATTTGAAAGTTCCCCATTGATACATGAGGTCTGGATTACAACTTATATACAATAAGTGATTTCCAAAAAAGTAAAGACAGAGAAGGGAAGGAAGGAAAGAAAGGAGGGAGGGAGGGAAGGAGGGAGGGAAGGAAGGAGGGAGGAAGGGAGGGTAGAAAAGGAAACCTATATTCATAGACATCATAATATGGGATGTTTATTTCCAAGAGAGATACTACTGCTGCTATCGTGCACAAGAAGCAGCACAAATTAACACTAGATTAAAATTTGCTCAACTTTCTCTCAAGATGCACAATCCTTTTAGAGTTTCAAAATTAAATACTGAGAAATATAAAATGCATTGCCAATATAGCTACTACAAAAATCCTTTGTGGCTCATTCCTTAACTCCACTCAGAGAAGCAGCTGAGCCAGAATATAAAAATAAAAATATTGATGTGCAAATAAAATATCACTGATCATGTCTGGTGCCACCTTTTTGCTATAGGTGACTGTCACTTTGTTGTAACATTGGTAATAGCATCAAAAGAGAGAATCTCTTCATTTCTTGGGCCAGGTCAGTGCATCCAATTAAAGGGAAGAAAAAACAAAACAGAAGAAACAAAACAAAACAAAACAAAACAAAACAAAAACCTCTGAACATTTAAAAATGCCAATAACATCCATACATCTTCCCTTTCCCACCCCCCGATCCCCACAAAAAAATAAAAAAGCTTTTAAAGCTCTAAATATACTTTTTTTTTTTTTCTTTCCATAGTGTGATAGAGCCTAGGGCTATACATTTAAGTATAGCAGGTGCAATTATAAGCAATTCCTAGCTCTGCACCCTGGACTGTCCCACGCATAGAAGGAGGTACAAAATAAATTAAACCCTTCCATTTAGGCAAGCAAGCCCAAGATGAAGGAGCATAACCCTGCTTGTGAGTATCCAGAGGCATTGAGGGTATTATCTATGTCTTACTTTTTTTATTTTTTATTTTATAAAAAACAGATGTCAGGGAGAGCAAAATATAATAAAATTTAAAAGGACAAAAACACTGAAGGAAAACAACTGGAGACACCTTCACAACGAGAAAAGGAATGCATGCTTGATTCAAAGTATGAGATGGGTCAATTCACTCACATGGTTGTTCTAGGCCCACAGCCTAAGGCCTCAGCATCCTTCTAAACCACAGGGTTCTGTTTTTGTTTTTTGTTTTTTCTTCCAAAGACACTCTTAATCCTACCCCTGAAACCAATATGGTAGGGATAAGGTTGGAGTGATCATCACTCACTAACTACAATATTTGCTATTTAAAAAATATATTTATATATAGTTCTGGAAATTAGGAAGCAAACAAAATATAACACAAAGATGCATTTGTCACAATTAACTCAAGTTGCAGCAACAGCAGAAATGTGGGAAAGGACAAAGAGAGGGCTGCTGCAAATGCAGCAAGTACGTCCTTAAATATGTCACATAGTGCAACAGTCAGATTACCTCAGTTACTGTGCATCACTGGACACAACATGACAAATGCCACATTGTCACTTTCAGTTAAAAAAGAAAAGACAGTGTTTCTTCTCAGAAGTTGCCCTATGAATTTTAGACATATATCTATAATAACTTTAAATATGTCTAAAATTTGGCTTTATTCTTCTCAGTTTGGAATGATCAGCATATGAAATTGACATCAAGGATATCGGTGTAGCTCTCACCTTAACTCTGAGGACAGGGTAAGGTGCAAAAAAGGATCCTGGTCTTTCTCATTTCAAATGACTGCATTTCATTCTAATGGGCAGAGATATTTCATAAACCTGTGATTGTAATGCCCTCAATCTAAAAAGATGAATTAATGGCAAACAAAAGTTTATATTATCAAAATTAAATGTAAAGCAGAGTTAAAACTAACAGGCTAAAATCAAAGGGCTAAAGGAGATGATTTGTTACAAATTTATTTTTATCTTTAGCATTTGAACTTGCACCTTTGCTCCAGTACTTTTAAAGTAAGTTGTTTTCATCTTTGGCAGCCTCTGCCAGCTTTACATTGAATTCCCATTAATGTTCCTTAAAAAAAAAAAATCTATTAATTCCATTAAACCATGTTGTGTTTGGTATTGCATATGACTCTTTTACTGCTGTTTCTTTTTCAGAATTAACAATGCCAAATTTTGTTTTTGTTTTACAAAGTTATTGAGATGACAATATCCATAATCAGCTGACTTTTATGCACAAACTGTGACCTGATAATCCTGAAACGCTTAGTAGGGGAGAAAGGTCAGTGGTTTCTTTTTTTCCTTTTTTCTTGTAAAGAATAAAACTGCATATTCTACCTTATATTTTAAATGGAAGGAAGAAAATATACAAGCCCATATTGATACCATATTTCTATTAAGAGCAACAACAGTTCATATGTTCCTGTTTGCTACTATCACAATTCAACACATGAATGCAGAATCGGCTCTATACCACGAATACTGCTGGAAGGGATTGTTTAGGATTATCAACTCACTGCTGCCAAGTCCATAACAAGCAAAAGCATCCTGGAAATAAATCCCAAAACACATATCTTTCAGTACATAATAATGCAACTGCTTTAAGTAAGTACATAATGTACACAAGTTTTATCAGCACTTTAACTCCCCAAGATGTAAGCTTCCTCTTTTAAATACAAAGCAGAGAGCCAATAAGATAGATCTATAATACAGCCTTAGATTTTGTTTTTTGTTTTTCTTAAACAATTTGGTCACGATGCACCTTTGATATAAAAGCATTTTTAAACTTTATTATTAATACTCAGGACATTAGGAATTTCCAGATTTTTTCAGTAGCATTTGTAGAACCACTTTTGGTAACAAATACAGTAGTTAGGAATACGCATTCAATTCAGAATGCATAATAATGTTTATCCTGAATCCTTTCTGGCTAAAAACAGGGCTGGCACTGTGATGGGATATAGAATGAGAATCTACAAAAAAACACTGTAATATGTTTCTTTTTTTCCCAGAGGCTTCATCCTCTTTTGCTGGAATACTTTATAAATACATATTAAAAAGTAAGGCAACAACTCCAAACAGTCCAAGCTGTTTGCTCAACTCTATTCCCAATTAGATTCGCAATCCTGGTGATCAATTTCATGGTTGTACTGTTTAGTGTTTGTCTTTCTTATTTCAAAATGGTCCAAAAGGATGTCTTCTGACATTTCTAAAACATCTCTGGTTTGTGTGTTCAATGACATACATAACTAATACTGGTCAGGTACTGAACCCTATGATGTCCCAGTGCCTGTTTTCAAAGGATTCAAGACATTGATTTGGAGTCACCATAAACTGATGCGTGAATCCAAAATTCCCTTCCCTACTATGTTTATCACCTGCTCTCTTTTACTCCTAATTTTAAAACTAAAGGAGTACCAGGACTACCTGCTTACTGGAAAGATGTTCACTCCAGTGAACAGAACTTTTATCAGGGACCTTAATAATTCACGGCCCCATTCCACGTGGACATTCAACTCATGAAGATGTGCAAAAGGAAAAGATGTCAAATTACAGTCAAGTTACCCAGAGGAGGATGTTATACAAACTTAAAAGGAAATGACAGTCTTTTTTTTTTCCCCTTCCTTTACTATAAATACACTTAACAGCTTAGCAGAAAGACAAGCTAAATTTAAGATTGTTCACATTTGAAAGTTGTTTCATACTCTCTGCTAATGATAAATAAGGAACTCCCAATAATGGAATTTTAATATACAAATTTCATTGACAGATCTTTGAAGACTGCTTTTTTTTTTCTTTTAAAAGAGGGTTAGAACAATGATTATGTTTGCCAAGTTCTGAGAAGTCCATCTACTGTCCAAACTTTGGACTGAAGTCCGTATTTTTTTTTCCTTTACTTAGAGACAGGTATATACAGTGCTGTTGTAATAATGAAACAAATGTGAAATCTACTGTAAAGTTGCACAATACAGAAAACTGCTGCTCCATCTTCTACTACATAAATGTGTGACTCCACAGGTTAGTAAGGTTATTGTCATTATTTTTGTTAAGTTGGAATTATCCCATCACGTCTAAGACCTCTCTTTAACTCCAGATCCTCCAGTTTTTTCCACAATTCTTCACGCTCCTTTTCTTTCTTTTTCTCACTGGGGAAAAAATAGAATACAAGGTAAACAACTGAGAAAGTTTAAAGAGATTATCCAACAATAACTGCCCCTTTGACATACTTTTCCCCAGACTTTTTAAAAGGTCTCTGAAAAATTCGGCATTTTTGGTTTTTCTCTCTCTTGCTTTTTATTTTTTCTTGACACTTATATAGACATAAAATAGAGTAGGAGATGACAAGAATATTTTAATATTTTACGTTAATATTCCTTTATACTTAGCTTAATAAAGAAAATTAACTTCAAAATTACCAAGAAAGAAAAATGATGATCATTTTTATGTATCTGTTATCCTAAAACCAATGGTACATTATTCATTTTTACTTTGGGTCTAGTTCAAATCTGATTTTCTTTTTGTCTCCAAATAGTTTCTCAGAAGGGTTGCTAGAGATGACACTGATACAAAGAATGTGGTAGGGTCAAGAAAATATACTTCTTCTTTATTATTACTCATTTTTCTTACATTATGTATATGTAAACGCTTTAGCAGAATCTTGTTCTTACAAGTATTAAACCACAAAATCCACATTACTAACTTATTTTATACCTATATATATGGACAAATTAAACATTCTTCTGTGATTTCAGTTTTAATTCTGGACAGAACTTTGTTGATATTATTGGGTATTAAATTTGTAACATTCCAAGCCTTCAAATTTGGCTCAATATCAATTTGACTAATGACTTCCAGACTTTTCAGATTTCACTGTTTGGTAAAATTTACCAAAAAACTAGATGTTCAAAATAGGGTAGGGACTCCCCTGGTGGAGCAGTGGTTAAGAATCCGCCTGCCAGTGCAGGGGACACAGGTTCGAGCCCTGGTCCGGGAAGTCCCACATGCCGTGGAGCAACTAAGCCCGAGTGCCACAACTACTGAGCCTGTGCTCTAGAGCCTGCGAGCCACAACTGCTGAAGCCCGTGTGCCTAGAGCCCGTGCTCCGCAGCAAGAGAAGCCACCGCAATGAGAAGCCTGCGCACCTCAACTAAGAGTAGCTCCCACTCACCGCAGCTAGAGAAAGCCTGTGCGCAGCAATGAAGACCCAACACAGCCAAAAATAAACAGATAGATAGATAGATAGATAGATAGATAGATAGATAGATAGACAGATAGATAGGGTAAACAAATTTCATTTTGCCAAGGACATTTTTAGATTACCATATTTTTATAAAATAAAGAACGTTAACTTTAACATCAATGATGTAGTAAGTACACAAATCAGGAACACATGGCTATACTATACATTAAATAATTTCATATTTATTAAAAATAATTCACTACACTGTCCCTAGTTTCTTCATGCTGTGATGAACCAGTAAACAGCAGACCCAGATAACATTTGTGAATCCACAAACTCAGATAAATCCTGAAAACAGGGGCTCTGCCACCCCAGGCATGGCAGATTATGGTCCTTATGCAACTTCACTTGGTAAGAACTTAACTTCACTTGGTAAGAATTTCGTACTTCACTACAGTACAATATGTACTCAGGGGAGGAAATCCACATAGGTTAAGTGAAATGTGTATATAATTCCATTGCCTCATATTTTTTATTGTCACCAATTTTTTAAAAGTTATATTGATATCTACAGCAACAGAAATTAATCTTCATCCCCCCCGCCAAAATGTCTCTAGAAATATCTAAGGAATTTTATAACCTCATTCCACTAGAGTATTGAGGGAACATTTAATTATATAATATGGTAATTAATATTATCATTTTATAATTATTATTTCGGTCATTTAAGCCTCGTTTACTACAACTAGTTCCAACCAGCTCAAATACAATCTGCACAATATGAATTTCAGTGAGTGTAACAGTTTTTCAAACAATTACCTATTTGGTAATTCTGATCCTGAAAATTTTTACTTATAGGGTAACAAGGGCAAGATTAGATAATTCTCCAACCATTACGGATACTAGATTCTTAACTGTAAAGCAAGCTGTTTGGTAAATTATCACTTTTGGTTTCTCAGTACAGTCTGGGGATAATATTAGGTCTAAATAAATGTTATCACAGAACACTGATTTAAAAGTAAATTCTACAGATCCTGCTGAGTTTCAATGCATATTGATCTTCCTATTTGGAGGAGGAAGAAGATGGTAAGCAAGGGCTTAGAGACCTTATCCAACTAAAAGAACAGCTTAAACATATGTTAGGTTCTTCCTGCCCTAATCTGCAGTTTAAATTAAGTGCTGACATGATTAAAACACTCATCTTGTTGCTGAAGCAGTTCACAAGTCTTTGATGAAGAGTTGCATGGTAATCATCACAGTCTATCCTGTGGAGCTTTTCTTCCAGATGAACTTCTTGCTGAGTCATCATACATCTTTTACACTGACAGCTTTATCTTCAAAAATCCTAAATATTTCTGAGATAGCTTCTGTCACCCCCATTCTTTCCCACTTTTCTCTCTACCTGTAGGTGGCAATTTCAAACTCCACCAAGTTGTCATACTAGAGATAATGTCAAACTCTCTTCCAATTTCAATTTCACAGAACACTAATGTTGGCATATGTATCAATATCTATCAGTGTTACTTACTCCGCCCACAAAGTATTTCAGATTTGTAATACTTAAATTTTGATCTGAACTGAAACAGTTAGTTACTTCTTGCCTTCCGGAAGTGAACTCCTCCTTTCATTTCTTGTCTAACAATACCAAATAAATCTCTTTAGTCTCTTTTTCTCTTCCCACATCCATGGAAAAACCAGTATTTCCAACTATTCGGTAAAACTTTCTATTGCTCACTTGACAAAATATTACCCTGGCTTTAAAGAAACCCTTCTGTTATTAAGAAAGTCCACTCACTATAAGTCGCTTTAATATACCAGATTATCAGAATCAGCTTCATAGTGGCTATTCCTGGTCCCCTTGGTTCATTCTTATCTTTTTCAAGAGTTTGGCCTATTTAGTTTAAATGATAAATGATCAGAAAACATTTCTGAAATTCAACAGAAATGAATGAATTTAATTCAATCGATTTGAATATTTTAGGAATAAGGTCTTTAATAGTCTTAATGGAATTCTACAGATTTAATCCTTATTCAACTAGGAAAATAAAAATGGGTTTTTACTTACCATAAAAGAAAGGATATTATGTACAATGCACTCCTTAATTGTATGTCACAGTATAAAAATGTGTCCTGTATCTCCTTTACTTAAATAACATTTTTTTAAAGATTTTAATTTAAGTTTGGAACATGGAGGGTTACTATAAATTTAATGATTTGCAGCAACTATAAATACTGTATAGTAAATTAAAAGTTCTTTAGGTATGGTACAACATATCCAATAACTGGTATTTATTTCAATGTGGCATAAAATATCTCAGTCTCTTCTCTCTACCATTAAACACTTGCCATATTCCATAATTAAGTCACTTTTCTATACTGCATCCTGGTAATTAAAAAAAAAAAATCGGCTTCCCTGGTGGCGCAGTGGTTGAGAGTCCACCTGCCGATGCAGGGGACACGGGTTTGTGCCCCGGTCCGGGAAGATCCCACATGCCGCAGAGCGGCTGGGCCCGTGTGCCATGGCCGCTGAGCCAGTGCATCCGGAGCCTGTGCTCCGCAACAGGAGAGGCCACGACAGTGAGAGGGGTACCCAAAAAAAAAAAAAAAAAAAAAAAATCACTGTGAAGGTCCTTTGTCCCTGCCACCAAACCTTTCCTTTCATTGTTCTTTTTATCTAAAATCCAAGTAACACATTAAAAATTGGGCAAAGATGCAAGGGAACCACAGATAGTTTTGCTCAGGAGATTCAGCCAGGTCTTGAGTATGAAAACTCTGGGATCCTTGAAGGTCCGTGCTTTTATGATATACACAAAGCTGACATTTTGTTCTGGATGAGAAAAGCCAACCCAGAGGCTCAACTACTAACAAGCTCTCCAGACTTTCCTCAATCTCTCCATGTATATCAAGCCAGGGTCTGAATATCTGTGTGCCCTCAAAATTCATATGCTGAAATCCTAACCCACAGAGGTGACGGTATTAGTAGGTGGGGCTTTGGGGAAGTGATTAGGTCATGAGGGTGGAGCCCTCATGGATGGGATTAGTGCTCTTATAAAAGAGACCCCACAGAGACCCCTTGTCCCTTCCACCATGTGAAGACATAGTGAGACCAGATATGAACCAGAAAGAGGTCCCTCATCCAACCATGCTGGTGCCATGCTCTTGGACTTCTAGACTCCACAACTGTGAGCAATACATTTTTGTTCTTTATAAGCTACCCATAAAATACCCAGGTGGTCTTTTGTCATAGCAGCCCAAACGGACTAAGACAACATCTTTTGGAAAGTGAACACATTGAACAAGAAATATCAAAACTGAAGAATCATGTAAATGAACTCAAGAAAGGCCTACTAAACCAGAGCATTTACGATAAAGAGTTCAACTGGTTTCTGCTCTCCTTTGATCTTAAACATTTCAAGATCTGTATAATACACTTTACCTCCTTGTTCTTTTCACTGCTCTCTAAATCATAAGGAATTTGTTGGGTTTTAGTATAGAAAGTAAGTTCTGGACCAAAGAGCTAAACAAAAACGGTGCCTCATCTCTCCTGCTGCTGGAGTGAAGTACAAATCAGTTCAGAAATCTAGTTCAGAATGGGAGTGACTCCAGATGGCAAACTACTTGATGGTCCCCTTAAGTGGACCTGAAATACCAGTTATGTGCCAGGCTCCTAACCCTGAGGCAGAAGAGAAACATCATGGAAGGGAAGAAGGAAAGCAGCCTTTTTCAAAATGACACTCTGTTACCCAGTGGCAGACTAATAAAGTCACCGCTAACGATCACGTGAAAACGAATATGGAAATAAATAAAATTTGCTGCTTAGGATTTCAGGTACAATTAGGCAACTTCAGCAAAGAGCAAAAAAAGAACTCGATAGTATTATGCACGGCTGACAAAAAAGCTTTAAAAAGTTACCGCTGACGATCTGACTTGTATGTGGCTGTCAGCTCATCAAACATGGTGCTGTTCATTTCCATAAACGCCTTCAACACGTTGTACACTAATGCCACGATAGCCCTGGAAGCACAGAGAGAAGGGAACATATTGGTTAGTCCTACATAATGGGATGCTGAATGAAGAGAGCGGATATACAGCCTTTATCTGAATGAGCTCCTCACACTGCACAGTCTCCATCCCTTTTTAGTTGGAACAACTAGAAATGACCTACAATTCACTTCAACATCAAGAGAGCTACATTCTTTAGGTAAAATATCTTTCTGAGGGGTTGGCAGGATTAGAAAAACAAAATCTAATTTTGCCCTCCTAATTATGGGTACCCAGAATAGACTTGCCTGTGGGCACTTGTTAATTTAATTTAATAAAAAGGCAAGTATAAAAATAAAGCAACTTCACCCTAAAAATGAGCACCTGTGGTAGGACCAAACTTCGAGACCTGAATTTGCATAGAATTTTATTTTTAAAGTGATAATATACATAATTCATCAAAATCAAAGGCTGTTCCCATGGTAACAAATTTTATATATCTATAATTCATACTCAAAGATGATACCAAGCCTCTGTAAGCTGGGCAGTTTAATACGAGTTATGTCTCTAGTTGGGAGTTGCATCAGTCCATCCACTCCTTGGTCCCCTTGCTGACCCAATACACAGGCTGGTAAGGTAACTGGCAAGCTGGTGATGGCTACTACTAGCTGTGGAGTACTAAACAGCTAAAGAGCCAAACGGCTGCCTATGCTTATCAAGTGGAAGAATAAGCTCTTGGCAATGTGAGGACTCGGCCATGACGGGCTTGGTATATTCAGACTAGAGTCTAAATAACACTGCCCTTTGCAAAACTACACGACATTACTTCCCTTTAGTGTGTTTCGAATACCGTTGAAAAAGGCATTGGTAAAAGTTAGGCCATATAATAAACGCTGGATTTGATCCTTCTAAAACATTTATAAGAAAGTGGACTTGCCGTGTTGCTTCTGCACTGTGTCCATTAAAAGGGAAACTTAGGGGAACGACCTTCTCAACTAGGATGGGCAGTGATGGAGAAGAGCTAAATACAACCTACTGAGCAGTTACACTTGCTAGAACCACTCTCTAGGTTCTCAAGAGGCTATCTACATAATGAGATTTGTTTGCTAGCTCTTTATTCTTATAAGTTTTAGTCATAAAATTTGACAAATGTGAAAAGTAAGAAATACGGTATTTTATAGTTGTATGTAAAACTTTTAGACAAACATACTACGAATATACTAAATTATCTCTAATTTTTAACGCCACATGAAATTTTCTTTCTATTCCACAGAGAAATATGTAAAGCTCTTCAAATACAGAATGCTTTAACTTTCACAAGACTAGATGATAAACTCCTCTTTGAACATTTTAAAATGTTTTTCCCCCTAGAGAACCCATATAGTGACTGAACTGGTTTTTAAGACATGGATCTTGCTAAAATGCAAATCAGTTCAGAGCACTTCCCTTCTTACAACTCTTTAGTGTTTCCTTATCATCCACTGGGTGAAGACTCATGTGGGCACCACTCCACTTTCTAACCCTACCTTCCAGCAACCTCCCCAAATGACCTTGTGCTTCAGCCCTCCCAAATTCACAGGTCTCAGAACAAGACAGGTGCTTCTTACCTTTTTGGGCCTTTTTTATGTGATGGGTAGACCCACTATCTGAATGGACTTCTCCATCCCATCCACCTGCCAAATTCTTTTAAGATTCAGTTTGAGCATCATCACCCTAGCAATATCCACAAACTTCTCCTCTTGATCCAGAGCATCCCCAAAATACCTCAGCTACATTCACAGACAGGTCAAGAAGCCCTCAAGTAAACAGATATCTGAATATAACAGCACTTAAAACACTGTTTTATAAAATGTCTGTTTATTTGTGGGTCTCCCCAACCAGTCAGTGAATTTCTAAAATGTAGGGATTTTATCTTTTCACATATCTATCTTCAGCATCAAGCACAACATCTGATACACAGCATACATGCAAGACATTTTATTAAGCAAAAGAGAAGGAGAGAGGAAGAGAGGCCAAAGGAGGGGGGAGAGAGAGAAGGAGGGAAGGAGGGAAGGAGGGAAGGAGGGAAGGAGGGAAGGAGGGATGGAGGGAGGGGGGAGGGAAGAAGGAAGGAAGCAAGGAAGGAAGGAAGGGGAGGAGGGAGGGACGGAGGGGGAAAACTGTGAACACCTACGGATTCCAATGTTCTTTTGAAATCCTATAAAGACTGGAAAACATGATGGGAAGGATGACATTAGAGTTTTCTTCTATCAAACTCATGATGTATTCATTATTCCAATAATAGAGTGCCCTTTCTGCCACCTTTGAGAAAAGAAAAATAAAATGTTAAGAGAGAAAGACAAAGATAAAACAAAATTATAATCTCTTCAAACAAAAGTATTTTAAGACTATCTTAATATCATTCAATCAAGTATAAAATTAAATTATTAATCGCACTTTACATTTTTGTGGGTTTAAAATCTTTCAGAAAGTTCCGAAGTGGTTCATCAATTTGGGGATGAAAAAGAAGTTTTCCTACCTACTTATTTATATTCTCCTTTAACAATGCCCATTTCATCTGATTCCACATTTTCCATACACAGCTCGCAAGCTCCAGACACCCTCACCCTACTTCTATATGCTACACTGTTTTTCCCATCACTTTAATCCCCTTCCTGGCTCACCTCTTTCATGTCGCACACTGTAGATCAACCACAAGGTGCAGCGCGTGGCTGGCCTTCAGTCAGTAGCTGCTGAAGAAAACCCAGCTGCCCATCCCTGCAGAGCAGGCGCATTTGCTAAGCACCTCCTATGGCCAGGCACTGTGCCCACCCTGCAGTCAGAATGTGTCATCCTTACCACCATCCAAGGAGTGGCAACCATGGTACAGAAGAGGGCACTGAGGTTCAGAGAGATTGGGAACCTGGCCACAGTCACACTGCTAGTCAATGATAAACTGGGATGTGAGTCTAGTGCCCAGACTCTTTCCAGAGTTCATTTCTGGTCCCTTCCTTTGAACTGGGTAAGCCAGGAGGAAGTCACTCAGTTTAGGACTCAGGGATACTGGCTGTATGTACATTCGCTTGCTATCTCAGACCCCTTTTTTCTGACTGCCACATTTATCAACTGACTCTCTGAATTCAGAGGAAGGTCTCAAAAAAAAGAAAAAATCTAAAAAGTAATCTAAAATAACAATAATAATTCCAATAAACCAAAGTCTCAAAAAAATAAAAAATCTAAAAACCTCTAAAAGGAGTAGTTATATGGGGAAAGGGAAAAAAGAGCAGCTTCTTTTATTCATACAGATTAAGAAATTATGTTTTAATTAAATAAATTTAAATTTAACTTAAATGTAATCATTTAATTTAATAAAATGGTACAACCTGTGCCCACCAATAGACTCTGAGAAATTAGAACCTTTCCATTTCCATTATTCAATTTGGTTCACAAAAAAATCCTGGGTCTCATAAGGCACTAGACACTCAGAGTACAAAGAAAATAATTCACTATTATTGAATGTTTACTATATGCCAGGCACTGCGGTAAGTGTTTCACTTACATATTTTCTCATTTAATCCTCACAACCAACACACAGAGTAGGTACCATTATTTCTATTTTGCAAATGAGGAAACTGAGGCTCAGAGGAGATAAGCCATAGCCTCAAGGTCACATGGCTAGCAAGTGACAGACTCCTAAGTCCCTGCTTAACCTCTTCACTCTATTATCCCTATGGAGCTCGTGTGCTGGTAGGGAAAGGGGGTTCCACGATCCCCAATGCAACACGAACTGTGATAGATGCTGTATCAGATCTAGAAATAAAGCGCCAGAGGAAAGAGCAGAAAGAACAACCCAGATGACTCGGGGGAGAGGAAGAGTGGCAGAAATGTACCACAGGCCATAGCATCTAAGCTGGGCTTTGAAGGATGAAGGAAAGAAGCAAAGGGCATTCCAGGCCAAAGGAATTACAGGAAAGGGGGGCAGAGGCACCAACATGGACAATGTGTCTAGAAACATGAAGCATACATGTGGCTGAGGCAGGTAGAGCACAAGGCAAGGAAAGGGCAGGGTGAAGAGGAGGAATGGGGATGAGGCTGTTCTGAAAACAACCCATGGGAGAAATTTTTAAAGAGACCACAAGAGGATGCTAGTAAAGGCAGAGAGACCTAGGCGTTTCCTATATCCAACTATGAGTCTAATATTTACCTGCTACTTAATGCTAACAAGTATCCTAAGCTCTATGTATCTATTTATCAATATGTAAAATCACTTACAGAAAGAAAGTCAGTATCCAGCAAAGCCCTTTAAAGAGGAAAGGCACTGCTTATGCAAAGTGAAAACTAGCATGTCTCACAGCAGGACAGAACCACTACTTTCCTGGGACCCACTGTCTTCCCGCGCACACACACAGTGCAGTGTCTCTAGCTCAGAGCCTTCTAACCCCAATGCCACACCTGGGCAAGTAGTGAGCGGCATCTGACTACACAGAGTGACACTCGATAAATGTTTGTTGGATGAACCAATGAACACTCAATTAATGAACAAAGAACTTCTTTACTCTCCTTCTTTCTTTTGCTCTCAGTTTTACCTCTGTCAAGGAATTTAAAATTCTTTTTCCTTCTGCTATGGACTGAATTGTGTCCCCACTCCCCTACCTCCATCCCCGTCTCCCCCTCCTGCAGGAAATCCAAATGCTGAAGCCCTAACCCCTAGTGTGAGTGCATCTGGAGATAGGAGTTAAGGTTAAATGAGGTCATATGGGTGGGGCCCCAATACGATAGGCTTGGTGGCCTTATACAGAGAGGAAGAGAGAGATTTCCTTCTCTTTCCTCAAGCATGCAGGAGGGAAAGGCCATGTGAGGACACAGTGAGAAGATGTGCAAGCCAGAAAGAGCCCTCAGAGAAGCATACCACGCTGGCACTCAGATCTCAGACTTCCAGTCTACAGAACTATGAGAAATCAATTCCTGTTGTTTAAGCTACACAGTGTGGGGTGTTTTGTTATGGAAGCCTGCTGCAGTCTAAATGTTTGTGTCCCCCAAAAACTCCTAAGTTGAGATCCTAACCTCCAAAGACGATGGGATTGGTGCCTTTTAAAAGAGGCTCCCAAGAGCTCCCTAGCCCCTTCCACCATGTGAGGATACAGCAAGAAGTCTGCGACCCAGAAGAGAGCCCTCACCCAACGGTGCTGCCACTCTGATCTCAGACTGCCAGCCTCCAGGACTGTGAGAAAAAATTTCTGTTGTTTATAAGCCACCAGAGTCTGTGGTATTTTGTTAGAGTAGCCCTAAGACACAGCCCTAGCTAATTATGACAGTCTGTCTCCTTTCTAAGCTTCTGAGCTTCATTTAAGGCTCCCTGGCGGTACTCATTTGAAAAGAGAGTCCTGCTCTTTGCCCTCCATTACCACAAACACATGATAAAAACTGAAAAATAAGGTAAACAATCCAGATATTTGAGCACCACAGGCCATATGTAATATGTAAAACATGTACACAGTGTCCCACATTTAAAAAAACATCTAGACATGTCATATCATCTGAAGGTAATGGTTTCTACTCTTTTTTTGTTTTTTTTTTTGTTTTTTTTGGCTTTGTGGTACAATTGCAAAGTTATCATAAGATCACTGACTTGACATACTAAGATGTCTTTAGGTCAAAAATTAAAACAACAACTACAGCCAGTGTCTCTAACTATGCAGGATAATGACAGCTCTGAGAAAAGTCCACCATCAAGTCCCCCATGTTAGCAATGGGGTTCTGTGCTGCCAAATACAATCTGAACGGTCTCTTCAAATCAACAGGCAGTATATAAAGAGTCAATTCTCTAGGTCTGTGACTTGGACCTTTGGTGAGACAGCCAAAGTATAAAACCTAACGTGTTTCACCCAAGATCACCTTCTTCTCTCCAGTGTGGGTCCCACAGCACCGCTAAAATGTCCCCAGTCGACAAAAGGGTTGACTAGGCTCACCCTCCCTGTGTTCTCCCAGAGCGGCCACAAGGAGGCAGAGTGGTGCCACAGGAAGGGCACGGGCCTCCACCAGAAGCGACGCCTATGTGACTCCCCACTCCCTATTAACTGGGGAACTTGAGCAAATCATTCTCTGAGCCTCATTTTTCTCATCTAGAAAGTGGGGGTGAAGCCTCAGGATAATTTGAAGTTTACGAGTAATGTATGTAAAACATCTAGCACAGTATAGAATATCAGCATTCTCTTTTTCTTTTAAGCTTTATTCAGCATTCTCTCTTACACACTATAGCAGCCCTACCGGTCCACCTCTTATTCAGCCCTTTTACTTGAGACATGTTATTTTACCACTTTGAGGGTCAGTGTTTACATCTGTAAAAATCATAATGCCCTCCTTGCAGAGTGGTCATGAGAATTCAAGTTACTGGACAGAAAGCACCATCACAGCAGCTGTCATGTAACAAAGTGTTCAAGATGAAGGTGGTGATTACCAAAAGTATTGTTATCGTGTGAAAAATCAGCCAATAAAAACAACAGGTAGGGCTTCCCTGGTGGTGCAGTGGTTGAGAGTCCGCCTGCCGATGCAGGGGACACGGGTTCGTGCCCCGGTCCGGGAAGGTCCCACATGCCGCGGAGCAGCTGGGCCCGTGAGCCATGGCCACTGAGCCTGCACGCCCAGAGCCTGTGCTCCGCAACGGGAAAGGCCACAACAGTGAGAGGCCCACATACCGCAAAAAAACAAACAAACAACCACAACAACAACAGGTAGTTAGTGTCCATTACATTTCTTTCAGTACCGATGAAACTTTACCAAAATAATACATGTTGTATAAGCCACTCTGGCTCATGCCCTCTTATTACTAACCTGAAAATGGGGGCTAGAGACACACTTGGCAATTTGTTTAAACAAAGGTTCTTGGATTTTAACAAACTGTGAAGGTTCAATCACATCCAATATTTCTTCCAGCTCCCCAAGGAACATAACCTGGAAGTACAGGCAAAACACAAAGTGTCAGGTGCTTGATTAAAAAATCCATATGGACAAAGAGGAATAATGAGGGTTTTGCACAGTTTTAATATAATGAAAATTTATACATAAAACCAAACATGAACAAAACAAATCAGGGTTTAACTTATGCTAGATGTTCATTTCACAAGGAATTCACCAGAGAGTACTTGTTAAGAACAAATTCCCTACGGCATTGAAAATGTGATTCTATTTACTCTGGAAAAAATACTCTATGTGCTACATCTATTATACAGAATGAGGGGTACTTACACACTGCAGCAGGGCCCTGGGAAACGGGACTATCCCTTTGGGGCTCTCTTCCCCTCCTCCATATTTTTAAAACAGTGGGCAAGTGGCCCTCCGGCACGATGGACAAAGCTCACGGCGGCAGCACATGCAGATATTTGCCAAACATTTATGGCCCCTGCTATGTCCTAGGCGCTCCTCTAAGAGACACCAGTTCGCAGAACACACAAAGTCGGAGAGACAAATGAGGAGGTTCAGCCACACACACACGCCACTTTAAACCCCTCAGCACACACGGACCCAATCTCCACACTTACACACATATACATATGAACACACTCACTCACTACAGAGCACAATGAATCTTGTGATGTCAGTACCATCTGCCTCCAAAACCAGAGCTTTTAGATCACAAAATGGAGTCAAATCAATAGTCATTTTCAATATAATGGAAAACTGACAGAGAAGTTAAAACCACTTTCCTGTTTAGGTATGAAGAAATAACTGCCTAGAAAAAAAATTAAGCCTGCAATTAAAGTACAAAACATGACGTTTTCATATCTTGACATGCATCTGGGTAGCAATGCATAGTTTAATCTTACCTAACAGGTATTAAGAAATTAGATGATTTTCTGAAAATGTGTAAAGTAGGGTTTTGGAGAATTGTAGCTGATTTGAGAAGGAGGGTGTTTCTGTTAAAAGCGAAATATAGTCAAGCCTTGTCATTTGTTGAGAAACATTCTGAAGTTCTTCCAAAATACTGTCCAAATGAAAAACTAACAGCTGACCTTTGTTTCTGGGCCATTTTCCATATGATTTCTAACCTTTCAGAAAAGTGGGTACAGATCTGGTGCCCAGCTAGGCTCACCACAAAGCTAAGAGCCTCACTTCCTCCACGGAAACCTCACACAGCACATGCTCACTTAGGTCTTGGCAAAAGTACAAATGACTGTAGATAAGAGATTTCCAGGGCCACTTGTGAATAGCTGAAACTAAAGGTCTGTAATATATTTTAAGATTGTGCATAGTAAGATCTCACCTACATGATGCTTTAAAGTAGGTATTGGGGCAGCTTGCTGTAGCATCTATCAACAGTGACAGCAAAACCTTCATATTATGTAGGTGGTCACTAGGAAGGGGACATCAGTAGAGCTAGACAGTTGGACATATGACTGGGGTCTGCCTTGGGCTTACCCAGGGCTGAGCAGCCCAGGGTAAAAGCCCAGGGTTCAGGAATCAGGGAGGCAGGTTGTGGCCTAATCACCTGTACTTAGCATACCCAGGTAGGCTATTTAACCTCTAAATAGCAGTTTCATAACTAGTAAAATGAGAATATTTACAGTCCTGCCTTGCTGAGTTACAATAAGGATTAGAGGAGATAATGCATTTTTACACATGCTTATTATCTCAGTGCTCTAGTAAGCTATTAACACACTGACATTGAGCACTTACCTCTTTTTGACTACATGTTTTGGGCCAAAATTTCATTAATCCCCTAATAACCTAAAATGAAAAGGAGAAAAACAAATTGCAGTTAATTTTCTTATATACACCATGAAAAGTGGTCTTGCTGAAGTTTTTTGAAATTATGGAAAAAATACTTACTGGTTCTGTGAGTGAAGGATCTTTCTCCAGAAACTGTACTATGCAATATGCCAGCTGAAGAAACAAACAGACAAAAGACAAAATTGGAAATTCTATATACTCAGGGCTCAAAGATGTATTATTAAAAAGCCCTAAAAAGTTTCCAGAGTCTGGTTTTAATAACTTCACATTCAATTCATTTTTAAAATAAAATATATATAAAGCGAAATATGAAGCAACTTTTTCAAGCCAAAGACTGACACTAACAAGGCTCCAGGGAAATTTTTTTAAAAAGAATATTGGGACATGAGATATTCAGCTAATGAAAAGCAGAGGTGAAACAGCACATCCAGTATATTCTGAAAGTATCTCATCTACATATAGTCTGAGCTACATCTCATGGGCTTCTTTTCTCTTTGCTGGAACATCAACAGTATTGGGGTTTACTGTGGTTCCAGAAGAGTCCTATATGAGAAGCAGGCACTTATTAAAAACATTGCTGGTGGCATGAAATGGCAGGCGCAAACTGAAGCAGTTTCATGGAAAGATAAAAGGTTGTACCTGCCACAAGTAGAGCCCTGGACAAACACGAAGAGTTCTACATCTGACGCTAACTCATCGAGGTAAGAATTTGTAAATGATCATGAAGTGTGATATCCTATTTCAAAAACTAGAGACAAGATCTGCAAAAGGGCTCGTAAAGATTCTTGGACAAGAAATCCACCCTTGCGAAACAACATTTTGATGGTGTTCTAAATTAGAAGCATATGGACTAATTTTTCCTCGAAACACAGCATTTCACATTTAAAGAGGAACACCACTCTGAAAAATGTGTTACATTTTTATGCAAACTCAAAACATTCCCATTGCAAGGAGGAGGGCGTCAGAGGTTTGAACTGGTAAAATTAAAATGCCACTAGATCATTTATCTACCTCCTAGTGACATGCTTACCATGCAAGGCAGTTTTAGCAGGGAAATTAGAGTGGGGACTAGAGAGGGTGTGCTTTTTAAAGTAATGGAGGCTAAAAATAAAAGTAAGTGAAAATACTGATTGATTTGTTTACTTCTGAGAGTGTTATTTGTATATAGAAAGTGAGAAGGAAATGGTGAATGAACTAGAAGAGGGGGCAAAGGGCAAGGATAGACTAATGCAAAATGAGGATGAGCTAAAAGATTCAAGAACATCCCAAAATGATTACACATGTCCAAAGGTACAAATCTGAAAAGCCCATTACATTTTATTATATGCAACCTGTTCAGTATATAATTGTGTGAACTTGGGCAAGTATCTAAGTTCTCTCCGTAAAATGATATGATTAAACAAATGCTTCTCCCACTTGAAAAATATTCCCATGACGCTCCTATACATAGGAAAATATATACACGTTTTTATTTGCCTTGGGGAATATTTTAAACTTTAACAAGCGTTTTGTTTGTGTAAATTAAGTAAATAACAATATCAATGAAACACTGGGTTTACAAACTTTATTTTGCTTCCAAAAGTAGTTGTACAAAATTCTACCTGGGCATGGAAGAGTGATAAGCTCCTCACAGTGTGTAAAGGGATCAACACTTTCACCAGAAACTGTTTGTGTTCTGCCTTAAGAGGTAAAGCAAAGCCATTGATAATACTAGGAAAAAGAAAAGAGACATGAATTAGCAATGTTACCACAACAAGCTAAATTGAGACACTGTTCTTGTGAGATTAGGTTAAATCTTAGTCAGTTTATGTTTAGTCCAGAACAACCCAAAACCCACCCCAGTGGCATTCAAGACTTCTTAGTTGCTTTAAAGAATATCTTTAAGTAGGAAGGAAATTTAAAAGAAGGAAATTTGCTTCTGATCTCCCAGCAGAGGCTCCTGAGCTCTCACACCTAGTTGGATAGTTCCCAAAAGCTTTTGTATCAACAACTCTTTATTTTCCCTTCCCTCTTTTCCTTCCCCAAATAATCGCCTGCCTTGCTCACTCATGACCCTTTCCATTTCCAGACATCATTCCTTCCCCTTCCTGAAATTGGCCCAGGCCAAGATTACCCCTGGGTAAAGAGCCCAACTATGGGAAGTCCCAGAGAGAACCGTGTGACTCCACCTTCCTTCTCTCCTCATATTAGGAGGAGAGACTAAGTAATCACATCGTCCAGTTACATTAGCTCTCTTGTGTGTAGAAACCCACACAACAGCTGTCTCTTTCCAATTAATTCCACTACTCCAGGCAGCAGCTGTTCAAGAACTTCACCTGGGTACATGGACCCTTTGAAAATGGCAATCTTTCTAACTTATTATAAACTTACTTTCAAAAATTATGGCAGAGGAGAGGTAGCCTAGAAACGAAACTGACAAGAATAAGAGGTAACTGGCCTGACTGCAATTAGATGAATAATGAATAAACTGTTAGCTCTTTCAGTCATTCCAAAAAAATAGCAATTCATAATTATGGAACAAGGGAAACACAAAACTGTGTCTTGTAGAGTCAGCCGGGAAACATGCTATAAGGACAGATGAGACCTGATGTACATACAAGCAAGGGATTTGGGGTAGCATTTCCCTGTGCCACCTGAACCTGTCACAACGACATTCACCTGAGATTAGCAATGAGATAAAAATGTGCTTACCTTCCTAATATTTCCAGCAGTTCAGCTACACCATTGAAGTGTTCTGTTTCATAAACAAACCTAAAAAAGAGAGAAAAGAAGAGGGGAGGGGAGGGGAGGAGAGAAAAGAAAAAGAAAAAAGAGAAAAAGTCAGTACACTATGGTCAAATATTTGAGGTTTACTTAATACTTCTATAAAACCACCAACTTTGCTTCTCCTTCTCCCCCCACCCTCCACTTACCTTAGAAAAATATTGTTAATCTGTTTTCGGATAAATGCTCTAAGACCAAGAAACTTGCCATAAATTCTGTGTAAGACTGTTTTTAAGTAGTCCCGTTCCCGTGGGTCTTCGCTGTCAAACAGCTCCAAAAGCTGTTGTAAATAAAAGACAGTGTAGCTGTCAAAAGCAGTTTCAGAAAAGGATTTGGGAATTCTGCCACTCATTTAAAATCTCTTCCTTCCTTCCTTCCTCCCTCTCTTCCTTCCTCAAAAAATTATTGAAAATCTATTATGTGCCAGGCACAGTGCTAGTCTTTGGGAATACAGTGATAAATAAGTCAGACAAGCGTAGCTTATACTCTAGAGAAGATATACACAATCATAGCAATAATCATAATAATAGGTAACACATATACAGCACTTAGTATGATCATCAGGCAATTTTCTAAGCAATCTACTTATGCTAATACTCCCTATGAGGTAGTCTTACTCCCATTTTTCAGAAGAGGAAATTGGGGCAGAGAGATGCTAAGTAACTTGTGCATGGTCTCAAGCAGTAGAGCTGGGATTTGAACCCAAGCAGTTGAAACCCTAGAGTCCATTACCTCAATCACTGCAATTCTATACAATAAGCCATCTACTGAGCTTATGTCCCAAATATATAGTTAAGCTTTCAGCTCTGCCAGAGCATTCAGGTAAATTTAGATAACCCACACCAAAGCAAGCATCAAAGTTCCCAACAATACTGGCAATGTTCTCTTTCTAGATCCTGGCTCTTATTACATGGGTGTGTTCACCACTGAGGTAAACACTTACGATTTCCATATGTATGTTATACATTAATAACATTATTTTTAAGTTCCCAATCATTTGTAACCTAAAGGCAATAACTGAATCCTGATAAGATCATATCTTATCAGAATTGAAAACATATGTCAACACAAAAACTTGTATATGAATGTTCACTGCAGCATGATTCATAATAGCCAAAAAGTGGAAATAACCCAAATGCCCATCAACTGCTGCAAAGTGTCCTTGCAGTGGAATATTATTCAGCCATAAAAAGGAATCAAGTACAAAAATATGTTACCACATGGATGAACCTCTCAAACATCATGCCAAGTGAAAGAAGCCAGACACAAAAAGGCCACATATTGTATGATTCCGTTTATATGAAATATCCAGAATAGGCACATCCATAGAGACAGACAGCAGAATGAGGAGTGACTGCTAATGAGTATGCTGTGTCTTGGGGAAATGATAAAAAGTGTTCTGCAATTATGTAACAGTGATGGTTACACAACTCTGTGGAATATATTAAAAAACATCAAATTGTAAACTTTAAAAGGCTGAATTTTATGGTATATGAATTATATCTCAATAAGGCTGCTATTTTTTTTTTTTAAACAATAGTGGGCAAGTTCCTCTAGCTGAAGAACAAACTTGGAGACTGGTTTGAATTTTACTGAGTTCTTCATACCTTCATTATCATTGCAATAAAACAAAACTCATAGTTCTAATGTTGACTTTATAGCAAAACATTTCAAGAGCATATAGATAGCATACAAATGAAGAGACTACCCTAATTACCAAAAAAAGCTATCAAGACAGACTAAAGCATGATTTCAGGTGATTAAGACTGAGGCTGAGACCGACAGCAGAAGAACTCAGTGGGCAGTAATCAAATAAATATTTTTTCTTTGAACAAAAGACAGAGTTACAGACCAAAAAAAAAAAAAAAAAAACCCTTTACATAATGGCAGAAAGCACAAACTGAAGAATAGTCTTCAAAACTGGGCAGTGAGACAGACAAAATTTTTGACTGTACAATGTCATGCATCCATTCAAAAAATGAATGTTTCAAATGAGTATGTCGCCAGTCATTGGGCAAGGTGTCAGGGATACAATGATGAGCAACACTGCTTTTACAGAGCCTAACGCAATGAGGGATACAGGGAAATAAGCAGCATGGTAAGTGGCTCAGGATACTATATAAATACATAGCAGACACATCTACTCTATTTGGGAGAAGTGGAGTGATCAGGAAAGGCTGCTATAGGAAGTGACATCCATGAAGAAATTAGGAGTTAGAGGTGAAGGAAGTGTTCATGGCAGATTCAATAACACATACCTTCACCAGCAGCCTATCTAAACAGAAGATGTGGTTAAAATACCTGCCATCTGGGGCTTCCCTGGTGGCGCAGTGGTTGAGAGTCCGCCTGCCGATGCAGGGGATACGGGTTCGTGCCCCGGTCTGGGAGGATACCACAT